AAAAAAGAGTATTTCCAAAGTGACAGGTTGCAAAAAAGAAAACACTGTCCTAAAGTCTGATTTTCCTTCAGCACTCTTGGGTGGATCCCATCCGGTCCCATAGACTTGTGGATATCCAGGTGGCATAGCAGGTCAAAGACTGCTTCCTCCTGGATTATGGGGGGTTCCAGTTATGTAGTTTCCAGTTAGTGCTTGTTGGGTGCGTATCTTCTGGAATGACTTGAAAATTTTAACTTGTTAACCTAGATTTTGATACTTCTGGCAGTGTTCTTGAAGTTGAAAAAGTCGAAAGATAGAACTATGCTGAGGAAGAGATTATATGTTTGTCTTCCCTCTCTCTATAGGGGGAGAGCGTTGATACTGTTACAGTAATGTAATTTAAATTTTGAGTATACGTTGTGCTGAATCTTGAGGTTTTTTTGTTCATGGAGAGCTAATTTCTAACACGGTAAAGAATATAAAGTGAAATCCTGTGCGTTGTTCAACTGCAGTGGTCCTTGTTAGATTGGCATTCTTCAGTGTTAATTCCCCTGTTGTGTCTTTGAAGAGGTTTGAGACAGTTCTGTAAGTGAAGATAGCATTGGCTATTGCAGATAAGGGGTGATGACAATTTAAGATGCTGAGATTATGAGCAGCAGAAGAAGAAAGCTTTAAAAGGTGCTTCTTATTAACCTGAAAAAATAAGAAACTTTAAAAATTTAAGAACAAGCAAAAACTGAGTGACTGGATCGGAGTAGGAAGGAGCTAGTATCTAATACTGGAAAATACTAGGATAAACTGAGAATGTGTAAAAGTTGAGTTGTATAATAACAAAAGGTTCCTAAGCAGAAGACAAGGAAGGAAGTGGGATATATAGCCTCTGTGTTACACAGAGAAGATGGGGTCTATTTTAATGGTAATTCAAGCAGGACCCAAAATAGGATGAATTACATCCATTTTCCTAAAGATAGTGATGTATATGGTGAAGTCAGAGACAGTGGATGATAGGAATGTAGGTATGGAAGAGGTGGCTATTGCATTCAAATCAATACAGAGGGAGGCAGCAGAAAGACGTGGATGGCGCATAGCTCCAGAAATCTTCAAGACCTATCTTGTGATGCTGCAGGCTTCTTGATATTACAGGCTTGCGATATGGCAGGCCTGTTGGTGGTGTTCTCTAGATGACGTCGTTAGAGGATAACTGTTGAAGTTATTACAAGATGAGAGAACAGCAAGTCTTGTACGTAGCTTGAAGGAGGAGAAAGGTAGTCTAGTAAGTACAGCCTTTCAGAGGTAAAATCTAATTGCTTTTAGGATGGAACAATTACGTTCTATAAAAGATGTTATTCTCTGTGGTAAAGAGAGACTGGTGTTGAGGGCTCAAGAAGTGTTTCTAATTCAGCAGTCCTTTTTCGCAGCTGCTTGATGTGTGAATGTACTGAACTGCCTGTAATTCAGATAGGTGCTGCTGGTAGAATAGAATCAGGTTCTTAGTAGCCTGCTTGCACTGAGTCTGCAGACAGTCAAGTGAAGCATGTTTCCTGCTGTGGGTAGCTCTGCAGGGCTGGACCTGGCACTTCTTGGGTCTGCCAAGAGAATAGAAGCTCTCTTGACCTGGAACATGCCTGAAGTAAAGGTTTGGAGGAACTGCTTGTGTGTTGTCCTGTCAGTAAGCCTCCGTTGAGTGTATTTCAGATTCTTATCCTCTCTACAGTTTATGTGAGGAACCAAAGTTCAGCCCTGTTGGAAGGGATAGGTTTTGTGTTGGGTTTTGCTTGGAAGCCAGAATTCTAATAGCGTAATTAAGGATACATTACATTGATTTAGCAGATACTCAGCTACTTCTTTTTTGCCTGGTTCAGATTTTGAGTTGGAGATACTTCATCTGAAGATGCTCCTTAATGGTCTTTCTGAAACAGTTGACTTGCGAGGTGGTCTTCTGCTAGAACTTTGCTAAAGAACATAATTGCTTACCTGTGTAGCTTGACCCAAATTACTTGCAGTTACATTTTTCTTTGAAATTAAGAGCCGTTTTCTCCTAGAGTCACTTTAAAGCAGTAGAGATTTCCATCTGGTCACACTGTAACTTGTGTGTCTGGTGTTATAGCAGAAATCCTGAGGAATTTAGGATTTTACTCCTATCTTTTTATTCAGAATGTTGGGGTTGTCAGCTGTTTGTCTTAGGCAGTCCTTATACTCATGAACCCCAAGTCCCCAGGGGAGTTAGGTTGGCCAAACCCTCAGGATTTTAGTGTTGATACTGGAAAGATCAGATAACCAATGCTTTTACTCATCCACAATGCACTGTCAGTCAAATCCCACTTCTTAGTCACATCTACAGAGCTGGCATGGATGCTGCTGCTCTGTTCATTAATGATTTACATTGTGCACCATGAAGACCAAGTTGTTTGAGCTCAGAATCTGTTTTGCCAAAGGCGAATACCTTTTTCCATACTTCAAAGAAAGTCTTACTATTCCAGTCAAAACCATAGCATTATAATAAAATTATATCCTAGGTATGCACAAGGTACCAAGGACCTAATCAAAATACATCCTATAAAAAGAAAGGCGTTTTGTTTTTCCTTTGTCTGAAGTGACAAGATCTTGAAGGAACCAAATACTCCCTGGTCAGGTGGATTAAGTTACCTGTTACAAAGACATAAAAAAGTATCAGACAAACCTGAAGAATTTTGCTTATGATGTTGCAGAAAGAAAAGCCTGTGCTTCTATTTTAGAAGTCTTCAGGGTTGTAACAGTCTTCTGTCAACATCTGAAGTTTTATAAAGATGGGTTTTCTATTTTCTGTAGAGCCCTCCTTCATCAAGAAGCCCTGCAGTCAGCGATCTATAAAACCGCCCGTGTTTTTCAGGCATTTAGTCTTAAGGGCTAGAATTTTGGACTTTTTGTTTCCCTTTGCTTAATGTTCACTGCTAATTATTTTCTGTGAGTCAGAGATGTGGGAGATGTTTGACTGTAGAATGGAAAAATTTCTTACCTGGTAACTTTTCTAATGTAAGAGCAGTATCTTCTTCAATTTTACTCCCTATAGTTTAGCAGCCAAGAAAAATATCAACTTTGTCCATTCCTTTTTCTAGACTATTTAGCCAGGTGCACGTAGCTTGGTACTAACATAGAATGGTAGTAGAGTACTTGTACTAATCTATAGTTTTGAAAGGTTGATGCAGCATTGAATGGCTCTTCTAAGGCACAGCTGAAGAGGAGGATACATTGGTGGTGCTGAGCTATTTCTGGAATTGTAACCAAGTGGAAAGAATCTGATGCCCCATACAGTAATGAGAGATACAGCCAGCAGGAAAAAATACTGGCAAGAAATTTTCAGTGCTTTAGTGGGTACTTTTAACTAATAGCTTGCACACACTGTATCTTCAGGATTATTGTTTCCTTCAGAGCAGTGTATTTAACATCCAAATTAGTTGCTTGATTTGGCACTTTGATCTGCACTGCCTGTTTTGTGTGTTAGTAATTTTCTTTATTCTGTTGTTAAAGAATCAGATATATAACTAAAAAAAACCAGCTTAAAACACACTTATTACCTAGTGTCACATTTGTACGATATTCTAAAATTGTCTTGTTTTGATATTGCTAGCAAATTTAATTTGTTAGCAAAGCTTATGGCATTGCAAGTTAAATTCCAAAATAACCTTTTGGTTTTGGAAGATACTGTCTGCTGCAGTTTCCACTTGCATTCTTGTGCTTTTAGTGATTTTAAAATAGTAACTATTTCACACATATAAAATTCTAACCTAATAGACAACAGCACAAGTCACTTAATTAAAATTACTGAATACATTATAATTATAGTATTTTTATATTCTGTATGCCAGAGGAAGGGCAGCATACATGTTACATATTGAGTTTCATAACTTAGCAGAAGTCTGCACATGTTAGACTATGCCCTAGCAGAGTGGGCACTTGGAAGACTCGAGTTCCGGTCTTGGTGATACTATGGTGTTTGGGAGATAATAAAATCAGGTGCAGTACCTTAGATTAAAGGTCTGTGTAGATGTTATCTCGTCCCTCCAGTGTTTAATAAGTTACTTCATCTTCTCATACTGTTCTCTTCTGTAAAATTAGCACAGCTACAGAGATATATGGTAGATGATTTAGGCATCAGCTGAATAGGCACTAGATTTGAGGTAGTTTAAATACATTATATTCTCAAAATAGCCGATGTAATAGCTACAGTGTTCATCTTTTAATGCATTTAATACATTAGAATGTCTTTTCTAATTTGCTTGAGGGAGGATCAGATTATTGAAGAATATAGCTCTCATTATGGCAACCTTGAAATTATGGGTGTATAGAAAATGTAATAAAAAAGAACCAAACTCACCTGATGTGAAAAGAAAAAATAAAAGATTCATTGCATACAAATCCTACACAAATTTCGTATGTAAATTCTTATAATTGCATAATTATTCTCAGTACTGATCAATGCTTACCTTACACTTTTTTTAAAAACTTCTCAGTTCTTAGGTCATCCTGTACCTATTAGTGTTCTTAAAAATTAATGAGTTGTCTTAAGTGGTTTGTTGTATTAATGTGAATGAAAGTAGTAATAGAAATAAGTTGATTCTTGAAGATAGGTATTGTTTTAGTGGATAGTGTTGTCTAGCTTAAAATTTCTGCTTGTCATTGTTGGATATCTAGCATTCTGAGGCTGGGTAATGGAGCAATGCAATTCCAAGTCAATGCTTTTGCATGGGTCTGTATGAAAAGTATGTATTTTTTCCTGACTGTTTATTCAGGGATTTGATAAGCACAGATTCAAGCGTAGTGTTTTGAAAAAGATGCAGACATCACATGAAACCGTAGAGTGGTGCAGGAAAGGTATTGAGGTAAAAATGTCTTGAAATACAGTCTATTATGCAACCTGAATTTGTCTGAAGCCCCAATTGTTAGCTGTTGTTGTATTCATTTAATTTTCAATATTTAACTCTTAACTGTGATATCTCTCTGTAAAAATTACTTTGTTCCTAATGTTTAAAATCTGTTTCCAGGCTGCAAGCTGCTATATAAACAAGACTTTGCAAGACGGTTAGGACTGAGATGTGTTACTTGTAATTACTGCTCACAGCTGTGCAAAAAGGGAGCAACTAAGGAACTTGATGGTGTAGTGAGAGATTTCTGCAGTGAAGAGTGCTGTAAAAAATTTCAGGACTGGTACTACAAGGCAAGTAACTCAGAATTTTTGACGAGAGCTCCACAGTTAAAAAAAACAAAAATGCACATGTGAGGATATCTCAAGGACTGTGCAGCAAATATGGCTTACTTCGGCAAAGCATTTGCTACACTGTAAGCAAATGTATTAATTTCATCATTTGAGTTTTCTTAGATCTTAGAGCAGCATTTCTACCATCTGATTTTATTAATTCATTTGGCAAGGAAGTCTTGAGTTACAGAAAAACAAGAAACTGCTATGTATATTTATTACTTTACAATTCCATTTTTTTCTCCTCAACTGATACCATATTTTTCTTGTCAAAACTTCTTAAATGTGTATTCAGAATGTTGAAAACACTGTTAATGGCAGCTGGATGATACCTTGAGTTGACTGACGATAAACTAGGTTAGCAGAGTTTTTCTTGTTCCTGTTTTTGCCTCCTTTTTTGCCTTTTCCCTTCTCCCACAGTTTGAACTGCAGAGGCTTTGATTGTTCAGTATTTCCCAGTGGAAAGGATGCCAAAGGGAAAAGCAAGACCAAATGGATTTCTAACAAAAGTTTAAATCAAACAGATGGCATCTTTTTCTAAATCTCTGGAAGCTTAACTACCTTGTGAAGCACAACCAGCAAAGAGTTCATGCTAAGAGTTTTTTTGTTTTCATTTTTTGAAAGAAATAAAGGTGAAATTGGACTGGGTTTAACCTGCGATTAGTACCATGGATAAAATATTTGATCTCTGGTGTGAACATCCTGGAAAGCTACACTGATAATATCAAAACAAGAACTACATTTGTGGATGCAATTGCAAAAAAGACAGTACAAAATTCATCACCTTACCAAAACTGTACACAGCCTGGAAGGCAATAAAAAGCTTGAAATGTTAGAGGGCTAGATACAAGTCCTGTAATTCAAGATGATCTACCTACCATAAAAGAACTGAATCCGAAGACATACCTGATATTTTGGAATGGCTGGTTCCAGAAACGTTACAGCCAAACACTGTAAAAGTCTTTATTTTGAATAATGTATGTAGGGTCCTGTTAGACATTCCTGAAAGAAAACTACTGAAGACCAGAATGTGTTTCTTCTGTCTCGTGTGAAAATAGGGTGACAAAGCTTGGCTGCAAAGTTCTTGAACTTACTAAAATGTTAACTTCATACAATGATATTTAATCTATATGCCTTAAAACGGGGTGTGGGGTGACATTTATCCCTGCGTAAACAGTGCCTTCTGATAGAGAACTTAATAAAGCTTTGGTGTGCTTTAGAAATCTCTTGGTGATTCAGCAATGAACATAGTCTGGGGGTGTGCATACCAAACTAGTTTCATGTACAGAAACTTCTATGGAAGCTTGTACTCTGATTCAGGTTTGAGAACCACTTGAAAACTCTGACTTCAGGTTATCCTTCTGATCTGTGGGATATGGCAATAATTTAATTGGCCCATTAAATCTGCTTAAGAAATGCTGTTGGTACTGTGGTACAGGAAAGTTAGACATGATGCCATGAAAAGGCAATTTAATCTAAACAGACTTGCTGGTAACTAGTGACTCTTGATACTTTTGATGATACTGAGGTGTTAAGATATTTTTACTTTTTGAATCTTACACTTGCTAGTGGAACTAGTGTTACGTGATGTAGAATTGTTGATTGTCATTTTTTTTCCAAATGCTTCTTAAAGCCTTTGCCTAATTCAGTTCTGGTTATAAAAATTCGAGATTTATTACATGGAGAAGACATGTAATAGGTTTGGGGAAATTGTGTGTCTTGTTAAAATTGTCTTTTTTTCCTTTACATCCTTGCTGGTAACTTCTCCCTCTTTTATAAAAGTCACTCCAGATACCTCAGATTTGGTGGTGCCTTGTTAGCTGATGTTCATACCTAGTTATAAACAGATAATGATCAAAATATAGGAAGACAGAATAGCTACAGACCCCTTCCCGAATTTGTACTTCATTTGCTGTTTTGTCTGTTAGCTTCTTAAAAGAATAGTACATATGTATGAGCTTTGTCTCATTTATGCAATGTCCAGTGTTATTTTGCAGTTTCAATGAATGTATACATGAAGAGAAATCAGTAGTAATAACCTAGTAATGTTTTAACACCAGCATTGTGTTCATTAAACAAGTGTTTGTCTCCATCTTCTTTGTCTACTTTTTTTTATGGACATATCTTTCTCATGTAGTATTATCTGGAAAACATCTTAACTTTTTAAAATAATTAAGTATTATGGGAGAGCTTCCCTGATGCCAAAATTCTCTTCTCAAAAAGCCAGACAAAGGTAGCAGTGGTTAGGAGCACAACAGACTGTTATCTAGAAGTATTAGAAGCACATCGGACTTACGCAGAAGTGTTCTTCAAACCTAATATGAGGGATTGAGATGTAAAAGAATAGTTCAGTCCTAATCATTTGTTGGTGACAACTAAAGTTACCAATTGGTGCCAAGCTCTGAGGAAATTTCTACTGTATGGTGTCTGTGCACCTCTAAGACAAGAGGTAAAATTTTTGGTGTATTGAGCTAAGCTCCCTAAGTTATTAGAGCTCCTCCTGTAAACTTCAGTTGCATGCCATGGTTTGGATGTTAATCTGAAAAAATGCCTGGGAAATTTCATAAAGTAAATATTTTAGTAGCCTGATGTTTGATGACAGTGTCAATCATTTGATGTGACTTACTCTAGAGTATTGAAAGTGCCTTGAAAAAGAGTGTACAGTTCTGAGAACAGCACAGAAATCTGTTTCTTTAAATACACATTATGAAACATTGCTGAAAATACTACAGCTGAAGTGCACTTCCAGGTCATTCAAGGCTACGGTGGAGTATTGATTGGGCTGAGCATGTACGGCGATGCCTGTGTATTCAGTGGAGGTCAGGTGTCTTCAGCAAAGACTAAGTAGGAGGTGGGGAAATACAGTCTGAGGCATAGAAAAATTACTGTGGCTGGTGAGCTCAGATAGCAATGGTTGTCAACTGGTAAAATTCGAAATGATGGAGCCAGAATTAATCTAAATGGTGGAGGCAACAAGACAACCTTACGGAATTTCACTTGTCTGAATTTAGCTGTTGTATAATTAGGCATCTCAATTTCAAGTAGGTACAGTTTCAGAACAGTTGATCTTTCTCTTATAATCACTCACTCTCTGGAAACATCTCTTGCTTCCTATTTATTGCAGATTGAACTCAGAATAGACAGCTGAGATTAGGTCAAATTAATACCAGTCCAAACCACTGGAGAACATTTAGGAACAAGTCACTGGAGGATTAAAAATGTAAATTAAAAGCTCCACATGTAAAAACTTCAGTTTTAAACCAAGTTTGGGGCAAACATTAGTGATCTATACCACTCACCATGCCCATTTGAGTATGTTGAAGTTGGACCTGGCAAAAGAATTGGACCAAAAAGCAGTCATGAGTGGCAAAGGAATTACGTGCAACTGGAGCACAGGGAGTATAGGTGGGCTTTTGGGAAACGCAGAGAGCGAGCAGACTGTGATTCTGTGATTTTGGAAATTCAGTTACCATATAGTGCCAGTGTCCTGAATGAAAACAAATGGAAAGGGGAAGGAAGGAAAAAGCAGAAAATCATGAATTCATACTTTTGCTTTCAGTTAATTTCATGGTCAGGGAAGTGAGGGGAGCAAGCAGGTAGTAGGAAACTTCAGAGCGTGGAAGGGTGTATAGTACTGACTGCAAGCATGATTATGGAGATGGTAGAAATACGGTGTAGGAAATGTAGGGATAAGAAGTGAAGCATCTTTATAAAAGAATCTTGGGCTTGCTAAGGAATAGTAATTCCTATGTGGAAGCAAACCAAAATTCTTTACCTAAATACCTTAGTAGCAGCCTAGGAGAGGCAATAGTACACTTCCTCAGAGACCTAAATGAAAAAGCAGAACCAGGAGAGGGAGAAAACTGTTGCAGGAAGGCTGTAGTTGCTGCAGTTGACAAGATCTGTCACCTTTTTCTTTCTTTGAAGATGAGAGAAAATTGAGCAGAAAGTGGTGCTTTGATAGTCAAGCAGGGTGCAGCAGGTCAGAACAGGTGGGCTTTTCTGTACATGGGTCAGCTCTCATTCTTAATCAGTGTTAGGTGGGCTTCAGATTTAAAATTAGAGTGAGTTATAAATTTGGGGGGGGGGTTCCTACTGGTATTTCAGCCTTTTGGTGGCTTTTCAGGATGCATCTGCATCAAAGGTGGGGATTCACAGTTTCCCTGAACTGCTAAATCACAGTTTTTTTGGCAACACTCCACAGTTCTTCCTCACTCCCTTCCAAGGTAGTTCCATACAACTTACTTGCTCTTTTGTCCCCCCAAGAACACCTCTGCTGCAAAAATGAACTGTGGGTCAGCATCAGCAGAAAGTCCAAGTGACAAATGTAACAAAAATTGAGGGAGGATGGGGGTAACGCAGTGCTGTAAGATCCTGTGTTCCTTGCGGGTGTGTAAGCATTACTGCTGACACCTGCACAGAGGGGGGAGAAGAAAAGTACCTGCCCTTCCAGGGGCGCCCCTGGCTCTTAGTGTGAGGGGATCCTGAAGCTACAACTTTAATTGCTCCCAGTTTAAAGGTGGTTATACTATTAGTATCGAGTCTCTCGATATATTGTCTTAAATATTTGAAAATTACAACTGAGAACTGAATTTCCTACATTGCCAGAGGATGGTGCTGGACTGTTCAAGTACAGAGAAGGAACTCGGTGTTTAAATAGTTTTTAAATTTTAACTAGTTGGCCTGTTCATACTACTTTGGAGTTGCAAGAAATACAGTTGGGCTTTTTTTTTTTTTTTTAATAGCCATCGGAGCCTTGTGCATAACTGCAATGTTGTGTATGGTTTTACGTATTAATGTTTTATGTTGCATATTATCATAACTTCCCTCTTCCTCTCCTGGCTATATTATTAGGTTGACTTATTTTGGGTTCCTGAGCATCCACAAAGCTTTTATTTTTTAAGGGCTGCTTTAGGATGGAAGTTGCAAGCAATATCAAGGGGAGTAGTACAAACAATTCTTTGCTTACTTGAAGATCTGAAACTGGGGCTACCACTGTTCAGATAATAATTTATAGCATGGCTGATTAAATTCAGTAGAATCTGTTTTGGAGAAAAACAATGTTTTTCTTAGTGATGCCTCATGAAATTATCATGTAGGCTGGTGAAAGATACATTACTTAAGCATTTAGCTAGGTATACAGAAGAACAAAGTTTTGAGTTTCGAGTTACGTGCTAACTAGATTTTGTGGAAAGTTCCTTAGTTTGAGAGCTATTGTTGTTCATAGATCATAGAGAAACTTTGATGAACTAAATAATTGGAATCTAAAACTGTTGTCAAACTACTAAAATTATGAAAAGATAAAAGTTATTTACACTAAAGGGCTCTGATTTGATACTTGGAGAAGTGATCCTGTGACTTAAAAAAACCCACCAAACTTTGGGGGGAAAAAGCAACTCGTTCTTGGTTCAAGAGAGACTTTAAGGAGTATTGGTCATTTTCTGCTCCTCTTTTGCAGACTGCTTCAGTAGAATTAATTAAAATTGATGCAATAAAATTAATTTTTTGCTGACTGTCTAGAAGTGAGCAATTTTTAAAGACTTAGTAAAGACTTAGTGAAACAAAGCAGATTCATTCTGGGTGTTAACCCCCAGCAAACAATTGAAGATGAAGTGACAGATGTGCCTGTATGCACAGGTTAGAAGGCAGTGTAACTATTATAGAGCCTACACAAGCGAGACTTAACTCTGTAGCGGTAACGATTCTTCAGTACTCTTAAAAATGTTAACCTTTTAAAATGTAGAAATAATTTTTTTCCAAGGCTTGTTTAAAAATGTCAAAATCTTCCTTTGCATTAAGGCTGCACGATGTGACTGTTGTAAGTCTCAAGGAACTCTCAAAGAGAAAGTGCAGTGGCGTGGCGAGATGAAACACTTTTGTGATCAGCACTGTTTGCTCCGTTTCTACTGTCAACAGAACGAACCAAATCTGGCAACCCAAAAAGGACCTGAGAACTTACACTATGGTATGTGCTGCTTTACAGCTGCTAAATGGTAAACAGGATGCTTCCTTTAAATGAAAAATTTAAAGCTGCATGAATTATGTATTTGTTGTAATAAACTGTGTTAGAGATGACCCTTTTTTATTTTATCGTCAGAAGCATCACTGAGCTGCTTGCTATTTTTTCGTTCTTTATTTTATTGCTTTTGCGAGAGCTGAAACGTTGCCAGGTAATCAAACAGTTTTGAATTAAAAGCAAATCTTCTTTTTAGGTTAAGCATAATTTTCGTGTTGTATCAGCATGGGGACAGAAAATGCTTTCCTCTTTTCGTTGTGCTCCAGTTGGTCATTACTTGCTCTGTGGAAACACTTCAACATTGTGTTTTGGCCACAGAGAGCAGACAAATGCAGTAGGAATGAAAAAAAGAAATAAATTAAATGGAAATAAATGAAATGGTAACTAAATGAGGATAGAAAGAAAATATCTAAATAAGAAGAATACATTGCTTTTTTTTTTCTTCTGTTGGCTATAGGTACCATTCAAATTTGCTGATGGGGGCTGAGTGCATGTTTACATGGTTTAAATGGCAAGTCAGGCAAAGTTCAAATAAATCAGCTTTTTAATTATTGTAATTATAGCAGCACAACTTATTTGTATGGCCATTTTCATATTTGAACATTTTGGTATTTACTTTTCTGAAAAAGGCTGTATTCACATCTGCACAGAGCATTGATTTAGCATTTGCCTTTGTGTAAGGTTCAATGCCAGAGTAGTGAGGTGCCTGTGAATGAGAAGTCTTGCAGGCAGTTCTCACCTGCGATAAAGCACTAATCAGTGCTGTTAATTTAATGTTATCCTGATGATAGATGTTCTCTGAGTTGCTTACTGAAATTTGCTTTGATTCTAAAAAAGGGAAAAAAATTTCTAAAAATGTTTTCTTCCATTTTTAGATCAGGGCTGCCAAACCCCCCGAACAAAAATAACAGTAAGTACATATATTTAAAATACATCTGACTATTTTATATATAAATACTTAAAATGTGAGACTCTGGTGGCTTAAAGGGATGCTATTAAAACCCCCCAAATTAATATCTCTGAATGATACTAAGCTAAATTCATGGAGTTTTTTATTCTTTTTCACATCAGTAGTTGAAATCAAATTTTTAAATGTTCATATTTTGTCTTTTCAATGTCTTCTGGGAAACCAAATCATCAGGCATGTATTTTACATCTATAGTGCACAAAAGTGCTTAAAAGTTAATTCACAAACTATGTGTATCCTAATCAGTCTAAACATGTGACCAAGTGTATTTATTGCAAATAGAAAGGGAAGAGAATTTCACTGGTCGATTAGAATATTAAGGTTGTATCACAGCTTTGAAAGGCTGAAAATAAAGCTTCAGATCTTTAATTATAATTCCTAAGAGTAGAATAATTGGTGCTCAAGGTCTGATTGACTTTGCTGCAGGTGACGGAGTAGGGAAGCGTAACCTTTTGCAGGATCACTGCCTGGGAGGGCAGGGATCATCCGTGGAGCAGCAGCCTTCATTTTGAGTTTCAGTTTTGGTCAGCTTATCAAATGTGTTATTAATGATAATTTTTCCAGTTAGCTTAGTGTATTTTGTTTGATACTTAGTATTGTTTTGATTTGTTTGTCACATGGAAGATCTCAGCTGCCTATTTCTCCGTGAAAAAATTGTCTCACCTTTATAATGCAAATAGGCTTCTGTAAGGTAAATCTTAGATTTAAGTGTAAGTATTTTGATTATAAAATATCTTAATGAAAAACACAGAAAATAAGATTGCTTAGGTAAATAGAGACATCAGGCAAGCTAAACTGTCATGTTAAAAACATGTAGTATTTTATCGTTAATGATGTTAATTCAGTCCGTAAATTTTTTTTAAAAGATCATATAAAAGCTATGTGTGATACAATACTGATTTTTCATATTTTAGAAGGCATATGCCAGTTAGGTAAAGTCTGCTGCTGTGCTTTTGACTTGACTTTCTTTCTATATTTAAAAGAATACGCGGGGCTAGTCTTACTACATATGATCAAATAACAGTGACAGTCTGTTTCTTAAATCAGGTTCTAAAACAGGTGCTAGGAGACAAAGCCCATGGGTTTTTACCTGCTGACTGTAAGGACGCAGTTTGAACATTATGTGATGTTCCTAAATATTTGTTGTCACTACTGTAGAGCCAGCAGGGGGAGCTCGAAGTTCATTCTTTAGGTATTAAAACATTGTTTAAAGATACTTTATTTAGAAATACATTTTTTTAATAAAGTGGTCTTTGAATTGTAGCATAGTTCAGGAAGGTTAGACCTTGGTCCAAAAGTTTGTTATGGTATTTATAGTGAATTCTTTTTACAGCTAAAATTATTTTTAAGTTCTAAAATAGCTTAAATTGCACTTTCATTTAAACAAGAATGTAAAAAAGAATATAAGAGTATCTTAAATTAGAAAAAAAAAAAAAAGAAAGTGAGCCAGAAATTGTTAATCCAAGTGCTAGCCCTGGCTGAGCAAAATGCAGCTATGTTACATTCCTGGCAGTGGCAGCTCGTTACTAGAAATGTAGAATAGGTTGCAATCAAAGAATAACCATCAGTGCTGTTGTGAGCTTCCTCTTCGGTATCTCATATATGAAAAATATCAACTGATACATTAAATCAAGAACTTTGTGTTGAAATCATGTGATGTAACAGCACATTCTGTTTCCTTTGCTTGTCTGTAGGGCTCAGCACCACCACCTTCTCCAACACCTAACAGAGAAATGAAGAACAAGGCAGTTCTTTGCAAGCCTTTGACAATGACGAAAGCCACATACTGCAAACCTCATATGCAGACAAAATCTTGTCAGACAGGTAACTCTTGAACTCTACTGGAACTACTCATTTCTTCATTGCAGATTTTTTTTAACTGTTACTGTCATGGAACATATTGCAAATACTCTGATTTTTTTCCCTAAACTGCAGGTATAAAATATATTTAAGTACCTGGCAGTGTTTGCCTTTTTCTTTTTTCTTTTAATAGAAGATGATTGGAAAAAAGAGTATGTCCCAGTGCCTATTCCTGTACCTGTCTATGTCCCGGTGCCTATGAACATGTATAGTCAAAATGTTCCTGTTCCTACAACGGTTCCTGTTCCTGTAAGTGAGACTTCAGCTTCATTTTTAAACTGGCATCCATGTACATGCATGTGTGGGATGCTTTGTATTGTTGACTGTTCTCATTCTGGTCCATCTAAAGGATTGTGGGATGCTGCGGCACTATTTATTGAAAAAGCATTAGAAATCTGACAGTGGCACTTAATTTCCTGGTTGTTCTTTAGGAACTCTCTGCCTGCCTTCAGTGTGACAATCGTATGCTGCTGAACTTCTTAGGAACAATTCTGAGTTATAATCTAGAGTTTGCTGAATAAGCGTTAAATGGCAAGATTTGTTCTGGTAATGGGGAAACTGAAAGATTGTGTTGGGAAGGGAAGGCAGAGTGGGATAAACAGAAGGAAGAAGAGCAAAACCTTGTGCCAAGAAAAGAAAATAAGTTAAATTTGCTATCACTTATGTACCAAATCTCATCCAAATGGTGTAAAAACGTCCTGAATGCCTAAAATTCTGTTTCACAAGCAAACCACTAAAACAGGATGCTGATTTGTCCAAACTGTTAGTCTGAAGTTATAGTCAAACAGGTTTGAAGCTCCAAAGTCCCTTCTGTTCTTACTTTGACCCACTATATTTTGTCATACTTAATTTTTTTTGTGTCCTTTCCTGCTTTCCCTTCTGTTCTCAATTTTTTGTGTTGAATTTTATAACCTGTCAACATTTTTTTGTTAGCCCACACTGAAGCAACATGTTTCTAACCTGTATTAACTCTGTCTTTTCAAAGAGGGGTATAGAGTTTGTTTTTCTGTTGACTGCTGTTGGTGCTTTGTTGCAGTATTATTTCTTTTCTTTTCCAATTATCTCTTTCTCACTGTCTGCACAGGTGCCAGTTCCAGTTTTCTTGCCCACTACTCTGGATAACAGTGAGAAAATCCTTGCAGCAATAGAAGAGCTGAGGGGAAAAGTGCCCTCAAGTCCTCTGGAAACTGAGCTACTGAACTTGTCAGGGGTGGTACCTGAACATGATGGAAAAGCTGAAGCCTCTGATGTGTCCAGTAAGTTTCCTGACATGAACTTATGCTTTGGGCCTGGTATTTAGGAGGCCAGTGGTGCTGCAGTCCCAGCAGGCTTGTTGTTTTCCAAACTGTTGCCATGCCCCCACTAAAGCTGGGTGTTTCTGGTAGTGCTGCAAGGTTGTCATTTGCAGTTCCTTGCTCTCTTTTGCTAAGTACAGCTAGCTGAATCAGTAGATGTATGGGATCAGAGCTTGCTCATTTGCAGAGAGCTCAATTTGGAGAAATCTGTCTTAGCCAGAAGTTGGAAAGAGGTCAAGTTTTTGTTTCTCTCTGCCTCCCTGCTTTGTTTGCTTTTGTAGGATCTCTTTCACAGACTTCAGTCTGTTCTTGTTGCGGACAGAATCATGTAGAAAAATAGATAGTTATGTTTGTCAAGCTTGTTTGAGTTCTGTGATTGATTGATGTGATCCAGATTTGCCAGTATTTGATTTTCTATACATGTGCTTTGCTGACTCATCTTAATGAAGAAGGACAGATGGGCTAGTGAGTACTGTTTCTGTTTGAAGGAAATCAGGTTGGAGAAATAAATCTGAGATCCCAAGAACAACAAAACCTAGGATGGTGATGTGCAGAACCACTCAGCTTCCAGTGTTCTAAATCTGCCTTGTTTTGACCAATCCATGTGTTGGTTAGAATAACAGAGTTTTTCCTTTTTTTTTTTTTTTTTTTTTTTTTTTTTTTTAGCAGGTGTGATAGTTGAGTCAAATCTACTAAACTCAGAAACAGAGGCACGGACAAGCTTGCCTGATGTTCCATATGAACCAGACCTCGATATTGAAATAGACTTTCCAAGAGGTATTTTTTCTGTGATTTTAATAAATATTTTAAAATAGGCATTGTGGGAAACCACTGTACTTTGTTTCATCATACTTTCAGAGGAGCTTTATTTGATTGCAAGATCCACTTGAATGACTGTTAGGTAAAAGTTTGCCATGTCTTTGCAAGACTAGGGACTTCTGAATTAGTTCCTCCATCTTTCTAAATAGAGTATTTGAAACAGAATGCAAAGAAAAGGGGGAATTAACCTTTCACAAATGAACTTTGCTGCATCACTTGGTATTGGACATGGATATAGGAAGGCTATTTTGAAGGCTCAAAGACTCAGATGGCATCTGTCATGGAAAACGATAATGAATGCTGATTCTTCAGTCACCAGGTATTTCCATGGGAAATGGTGGTTTGGAGCAGAAATGACAAAAGGGCAAATTTCCCACTCAAGTTTGTTAGAAAATCGCAAGCTGGTATGCTGCACATCGCTTGTGTTACCTTTTAGTATCTTGCTAATATCTTTCAAATACCTGTATTTGAAAAAGGTAGCGTTATTTGAATTTGCAGGGAAATCACTACTTTGAGACTTTTCTTGAAAGAAGATCTTGGGTTTATGTATTAAAATTTCCACCACTCTACAGAATGCAGGCAACAGTGTCTGTCATGTCCTAATCAATCCAAGATCCAAGAAGGCTCCTGGCTGTAGTTAGTGTCTCCCTTGACATGGTTTCTCTTGCACATGTAACTCTCATACCTCCCCTGGATAGCTTCTGTGTCTGATGCTGAAAGTCTCCTTTTGCCTTGTGCCACAGATATCTGCACCAGATGCCCAGACTGGGTTTCTCAGTTTGCTGTATGTCTGATTTAAAGATCAAGTTTAGGGGTTAGTCTGACGTTAGTCTTACGAAGTTTATTAACCAGATGCATACTAGATTTTTAACCCTCTTTATAAGCGAGGCTTGGTACATGAGAGAGAAAAACTGTGGAAGAAAAAAATAAAGTGGAATAGTGAATAATAGCAGTTTGTAATAGATATTGGTTACACTGAAGTGCTGCTGAGATAAGATTCTTTGTGGTAGCAGAAGGACTGATGTTTAGTCTGGGGCAGAGTTCTTAAATCTCTGCATGTGAGTGCTATTTCATCTGGACCAGTTTGAATGGTGTCTTGAGTAGCAAGGTGGTGAAATCAGACTAACTATCAGAAGAGCATTAAGTTCTGAATGAAGACATTGATGGCTAAATAAGGGATGAACCATCTTCACTAAAGTAAATAAAGGTGGAACTTGCAACATTAAATCCATTCATATGTTGTCTCATTGCGCTGTGTTGCCTGAAATAGAGTCCTTCATCCTCCCCCTGAAATGTTAAGTAAATAGTATTTTGACATATTACCATATAGCTGTTTACCAACGTTACTGTAATATCCACCATGAGCTAGACCTCCACCACATGTATATAGACTTAACCCAGTTTCTATGAAAGAGTTTACATTCTGATTCTTAATGTTTTTAACCAAGTATAATGTGCTATATAGAATATAAAAGAGGAAGAGAAATGAAGGAAATACATGAACAGAAGTTCATCTAATAAGTTTATTTCTATTTTTTTCCCCACTGATAGCTGCTCATTCTCAACATAACTTAAACTTTTTAATACCAAAGACTGCCTAGGCAGGAAAAAATTGTGTAAGGGTCCATAGTAAGAAATGCTGCCTTAGTGACTTGAGATAGCGCTTGAAAACATTGAGCATTGTGTCCTTTACAATTTATTCAGAAATAAACATTTTGATAGCTTTGCCTTACTTTCAAAATAAGACTAGGTTTATTTCGTCTTACCGAAATCCAGTCTTTGGTAAAGTTTATATGTGTGCTTCTGTGGACCCCTTATGTTAATGCACACCGATATAGTGCATTGGGTTTTTTTCAAACCAGTATTCAAAAGATGTTTAGAAATAAGTTTCTCTTAATGTATTTTCAGCGACTGAGGAACTTGATACAGAAAATGAGTTTTTGTTACCTCCTGTTTTTGGGGAAGAATACGAGGAACAGCCAAGGCCTCGGGCCAAAAAGAAGGTAATTTTGTCATGCTATTAAAAAAAAATAATCAATAAAGCACAAAATTTAAGCAGGAAAAAATATGCAAGGGTGGTTTGGGGTTTTTTTTCAGTTCTCATGCTGCTGTAAAACATGTTACTGCCTATTCATACCTAATATCTTTATGATGCAGATTGATGTATTTAAAATAATACAATTATTTCAGTCCTAGGTCTGTTGCAGTTCACTGTTGGATTTAATAGGAGTGTGATTTCTAAATTCTGATCCCATTTTTCCTTCATGTTGGTAGGACCGTTGATGTAATGTGCTAGTGTGTATATACTTACTGTACTCCTAGTACTGCTTTCTACCTTTGACTTTGAACAAAACTGTCTTGGTTTAATTTGTTAGTTTTCCCAGATTTTATTTTCAGTCAAAAATCTTAGTTTATACATTGCAAATAAAGTAGCCATATTCTTTTATTTAGAAGGAAACTAACAGGTAATAGAGTTTCTGGTGCCTGGTACAAAGCTGAAATGGTTTTGTTGCAATAATTGCACTAGATATTGCAGCTATAAAAAAAGCAGCCAACTTCTAATAAAACTTTCTAAGAATAAATGTGGCTTTCTAGTTTTAAGTTTGGAGTCTAAACTGTTGGTGTTACCTGCTGGACATTATCCACATATCCACTGCTGGACATGCTTTAATTTGGGACCGGTGCTGGCTTGTCCATTGATGGGTTTGGTTGAGCCTAGAAGTTGACCTTCTGATGTAGATTTGTAGCATCTTTAACTTCCTGAGAATTAACGCAATGAAATCCTATGAATACACTGAATTATTTGGTGCATTGTGTGTTTGATGCTTAATATGATATAACCAATCCAGCCAAGCCCATTATCAAAAATTATTCTGTGTTAGGAACCAGTTTGAAAGGCGAATTAGAAACATCTGTCAGCTTAAGGAAACACCATCCTTAGAAGTATGTTCAACACAGAAAACTACCTACTGAATGAAGCGTGTGTTTCTTTACACTGAATGTTCGGTTTGTAATTTGGCCTGCAGGTTGCTTATTCTGCCCAGCTGCTGTGTTAACTGCTGTCGGCGGTGTTAACCACTGTGTTTCCATGGCAGGGGGTGAAGAGGAAAGCGGTGTCAGGGTACCAGTCCCATGATGACAGCTCTGAAAACTCAGAGTGTAGTTTTCCATTCAAATACGCCTATGGTGTAAACGCATGGAAGCACTGGGTAAAGTCTCGGCGTTTAGATGAAGAGCTTCCAGAATTAGAGGAACTGAAATCCAGTAAGTATTTCCGAAAATCTGGCATCCAGATTCTTATTTACTAGGGAGAATTGAATTGCTGTACTAGTCTGATTTTCAGCTGGAATTTTTAGTGGAAGTTTTCACATGTCCCTAATGTTTCCACAGTGACTGGGATTATTTTACCACAGAGTTGCCAAACTTTTTTTTTTCCCTCTTTTTTTTTTTTTCTTCCCCCCCGCCCCCCGCTAGTTTTTCCTACTTGATTCGAAATGTTCGGTCTCACATTTCTTGTGCAAGCGAGGACAGCACCTTCCTGGCTTCTCTGCCTGTCTGTGACCACTTTGATTTTTTTTGTTTGCATCCTGGTTTTCCTCATATTCTAACTCACCTTGGAGTTCAGACCTTTTCTGGACTTCTGAACTGCAAGGGAAGGGCATCCTACTATTTGTCCTGGAAAGAGCTCTTCATCTGAGGCTGGCATTATGTGGCTGTGGAGCTCTGATACGAGGTGGCCTTTGTTCCCGTGGAGCCTTGCTGCTCTTTCTGTTCTGTGTGCACATTTGTACAGGGAGAGGAAAGGGAGATTGCTGCTACCCCTGCTGTTCTTCAGCTCCCACGCGCGCCTTGGCGCCTGTGCAATGTGCTGTTGGATCTTTGGAAACTGCTGTTTCCCCTGAAGGTCTCCCTCCACAGCACTGTGTTCACTTCAGCATCTTGGGCCACTCCTGTGCCATCCTCAGCCATGCAGGACAGCACATTTGTCAGTGGGTGATACTGCGTTTGGTTAATTAGACTTTACTCTGGTAGCGTTGTTTACTTTAATACAGACCTAACATTTGCACTACTTAGTACATTTAGACTCATTCATTGGTTAGTGGGGAGGACATCAAGCCAGTTTCCCACTCTCCAGTCCAAAAAAAACCCCATCCCACCCCCACCATGTAATAATACTGTTGTATAATGTAGCATTTTTTTCTTTATTTTACAGCAAAGTCTGTGAAATTAAAGGAAGATCTGTTATCACATACTTCAGCTGAGTTAAACTATGGGTTGACACATTTTGTCAATGAAATTCGAAGGCCAAATGGAGAGAACTATGCACCTGACAGCATCTATTATCTGTGTCTTGGGATTCAGGAGGTTAGTAGAGGCTGTAGAGTTGGGAAGCAGAGCTGCTGATTTGACTCTAACCCATTTCAGTGGAAGAATGGAGATAATGTGGATTTATTGGCTAGGAGCTATTTATTCTTAATATAATGGCTATGATTTGGAACACAAGAGAGGCTGCTGTTTAAATCACGTTCTAGAAAGCTGTCTGTATAGAAAATGAGTTTGCAGACCCATCCTGAAAACGGAAATGTAAACTGGTATATTGTAATAATTTCAAGTTTCTTGCTGGGTTAAAGCAAGGAATTTGCAGTCTAAAATGATATAATTTTTACAAATGCTGTGCTTCATTTTATTTGCTAAAGATGGCTTGAAAAGGTGGCTTAACGTAAAAGCAGAATGAAACAAGGAATAATCTGTAAAGGTTTTACTGATTCAGTTACTTAGCGTGAAGTGGAAACAAGCTATTTGAAGTGGCTTTTTGGGAGAATCTAACTTACTGAATATTGCAGACTGAGAGCAGTCCAGCTTTTCTGTAGAGTACAGGAAACTCTGCTATATTTAGTGTCCTACACACACATGCCTTTGCCCCCAAATTGCAATTACATTGTATTTCAAAGCAAAAGGGAGTCAGTTTAGATGTGTCTTACGTGAAAGCAGTAACATACCACTAGATAATTAGAAAAGCTATTCCACAGCTTATCTTTTAAGCAGAGGATATGTTAATTTTTGGTACATAAGGCAAATCATAGATAAAATAAGCCATGTTCAGAGCTGAGAACAAAGAAAATTTCATTCAAGTTAAAAGGCAATAAAAAGTGCATATGATGTGGAAAGCAAGCTGCTCACAGGCTGTGGAATCCTGCTTAAACTTTTTTTTATACTTAAGGTGGATTTGAATCAAACAACAAATCTTGTAATCAAGATCTTAAAATAAGTAGTTGTCCACTAATTTTTCTTTATTGGGATTATGTGAAATTAAAGAGTTAGTTGATATCTTTCCTCACGGTTGAAATTTGAGAAGCGAGCATTCATTGTTTGGCATTTTAGTCAATATTGCTACAAAGCATGTTTCAAATTCAGCTAGCTTGCTGCTGCTGCGCTTGCATGGTCTGCTGTCACTCTGTCTTTTTGTTGAACTGAAAATACTCATATTAAGCTGATAAGCAATACATAGAGTGAGCTATGTGTTTCTAAAATGGAACTCTATCTTTTCACCTTTTTTTTGTGCCTTTGATATTGTCGATGTATACTGTGAAAGCTAGTTATGTGTGAAACTTTTTTTTTTAGCTCATCAGAACCAAAGTTTGTGTGGCACAATGCAATTATCATGAGCCCTAATACACATACACAAAACTGGAACATCAGAGGAACAACTTGTAGTCCTGTTACTCTAATTATTGCTTGTACTTAGTGTCCAGTATTTAATTCAGGCAACGTCAACAGCCCCATCTCACTGGCCTAGTTGTGCCACTGCTGTTCAGACTGGTAGGAAGGTGCGCCTTGTTCTGAAGAGTTTGCATTTCACAAAGGCAGACAGCCAGTCAGGGACAGAAACATGTAAGCACGTGGGCTGCAGCCAACACCTGTGTGCTAATGGCAAATTGTATGTACGTGGCTATGTGTTACCCTTCGGAAGAAAGGGATTTCAACAGGTTGGGGGTACACTAAATGCGACGTAGTTGTCGCAGTGCGCAACAGAACTCTATTGGCCTCTAGTATTTTCTTAGCCCTTCTTTCCATCTGAAAATCCTGATGTGTACTCCC